GACAAAAAAGTATGCCCATACATACAATAAGATCTTTTTAGGTTTCATGTGTGGCTCCCAGCAAAAGTCTGTGCATTGTGAGGTGAATGATCCTTTCAACCTAAATCAAAGCATCTTAGGAGAAGCTATAACAAATAACAGTTCTGGTCCTCTCCCAGCAAAACAATGGTAGAGGGCAGGAATAACTTTGTTTTTCAAAAAAGCAGAGGCTCAGTGAACACATACAAATGAATTTCAAAAGGTTAAATAATTCCCATGCTGAAAGTCAACTCTCTTTTAGACATTAAGAGACTCATTTATTTAGGGAAGTCCCTAAATCAAGGGCTGCCAAAAGACAAGTAGATACAGCAGGAGGAATCTTTCTATAAACGCCCTGCTCTCATACATTCCCAAAGCATCTGGTCTTAGCCACCATCAAGAGGAATCTACTCTGTTCAGACTGATCCAGCCAGTTGGGCAGGTCCTCTTTCTCTCRCAGGTGTGGAGAACAAGATATAAGACTAGTTTCAAGAGAAGTGGGCCCACTTACCTGTGTATAAGTGTTTGCTCTAAGACATGGTGTGTCAGCAGCTTGGGACAGGGACAGTCCCTCTGACCTGAGTCGGCACAACATAGCATATCTCTATATGACAAGCCACCACAAAAAAAAAAACAAAAAAAAAACCTACAAAACCCTACAGCTTTAAATAGGGGACTGTATATGTAACTTAAAATAGTATAAGAACTGAAGCTCCAAGACAACACCAACCCCAAGCTCTACACCAACTTTGAACAAACTCTGACATGCCAGAGAAGGAAATATCATCTGTTTCTCCCTTGGACAGGAGACTGAATGCACAATGCCTGTTCAGCTTTCATATACCTACACAGTCTTCAGCTTTCTGGAATCTTTGGAGATTTCCCATTGCCAGCAACTTCCTTTCACTGTTTGCATCAGTTGCCCACACTGGATTTGCCCTTGCAGCATAACCTACAAGACAGAAATATTCCTTCACCACCAAACAGTTGGTGAAGTCACAAGTCACATACCATCACTTGTAGCATGTTCAAACACTKTCAAAATTCATGTCCTCAGATGCGCTTCTCTCTCCACACACATACACCAATTTGAGAAAAAAAAAGAAAAAAAAAAAGAAAAGATAACATAAAAGAACAAATGAACCGTGAGAACAATCAAGTGCATCTTCTCCTCCTGCGCAGGGGATACAGACATTCCCATTCCCAACACTTCTTTCCAATATGACCCCTTTGGATTTTACTCTTCAACAACCTTCTTCCAAAAGCCCTGAGTATTTAAGACATCCACAGAAACTGCCACCTCAGGATCCAGATTTTCACAGCAAGTTTTGTGCTGTAGTATCAAGCAGGAGGTAGCGAGCACTGCTGTCTCTGTACATGGCCAGAACCCCATGGAGAACAGGCAGCAAATCCAATCCTGAACCCAGCTCTTTTCCACCCCTGAAGCATCAGACTATCGTCCTTCCTAGCAAGCTGTCAAGGGAGCCCTCTGGTAACATAAATTTGGGGGTGCCCTTGCTCTGTGGTCAGCTCCAGTCAAAGACATCTTATCACCGTCCATTTCCCCATGCGGCACAAATTCATGTCCCTATCATTAAAGAGACACATGGTTTATTTACTCATTACCATATCCAGCTGTTGGCTTTCCTTCTCCCCATATTTCAGGGTAAGTAGTGATTTGACATAAATAATACCCCATTCAGCTACGGCCTGAAAGATATTGTAAATATAAAAAAAGTCTTCAGCTCCAATAGCTTTTTTCAAGTGCTCCGTCCAAACCCTACTTAGTATGGGAGTGGGGGGAGGTTGGGGAAGAGAAAACCCAACACCATTACTTAAATAGCCCCATTGAAAATGAGCACAAAGTGAAATATGGCTTTATTAAATAGATGGCATTACATGGGGAATGATGAATCATTTTTTTTGGGGGGGGAGGGATTACAATGGCATACGACCTCTTCAACTGTAATCATCTGCCTCCTATTCTGAGCTGCCATCAGGTGTGCTGTCCTCCCTTCCAAACACATTAACACCAGCAGCTGGGGACCCGTGGGCATCGATGCTGGGGTGGGCACTAGCAGACGGGTACGGGAAGAGGTCGCTCTCCCACTCAAAGCTGGAGGGGACTCTGCTCCTTTTATCCCCAGCCTTAGATGGGCAGGGGAGAGCTCRATGCCTCCCAGGCAGAGCAGGGGTCACTCCAGATTTCTGAAGTTTCACACTTGCCCTCCTCTTGAAGCAGGACTTGCGCGTTCTGGCTCTCTCCATAAGCATCGACTCATCGAGCAGCCCTGTGCTCTCCTCAACAAAACCGGCCAGCCTTCCAGCCCCTCCACAGCACCGAGGCTCTGCTTCCCTCAGGGGACTCCAGCTTCAACCAGCTTCTCCTGGAACTGCACTGGGGCAAAGAGATAGAAACACAGACACGCGTGGAGCTTCGAAGCCTCGTGAGCAGAGAGGAGGCTGCGGGGGATTTGGGGGTTGCATGTCTCAAGGCAGATCCTTTCTATGCCCATTACAACACTTTGGGACATATAGGTGGAATTTCAAGAATGAAAGTAGAATGGGAGGTCACAGCATGCAAGACTGGAACCACCGTGGAAAAGGACTCCGGACAGCACCAAGACAAACCTCTTTGGGAAACACAAAGCTCTGCTTACCCACAAGAAGAGCACATCTCCATCCCCAAAATACAACATACCTATTCAGCTGTTTCTTGGTTCTGGAGTCAATCCCCAACACCAGCCCGCATGGGACAAAGTAATTCCTGCCAGGAAAACAAACATTAAGCAGCAAGGCAACAGCTCTCTTCTGAAATCTTGGATGTTACCTCCAGGCTGACATTTGCCTCTGGATGAGGTAACATGAGTTAAATGGCAGAGCCACCACGAGCCACTGAGGGAGGCAGAGCAGTCCCAAACATACATCTCCCAGGTAGGTCAGAGCTTCCCGCTCTGCTGCACTGGAAAACATTTAAATCGGTGCAACTTGGCCAAGTGGGATAGGGTAGATCTGTGCCGCCCATCTCCAGGTTCCCACAGGCCTGCAGGCATTGCCATGACATTTTTCCACATTTTTTACCTCTCATCTTTCTCTCCAGGTTTGCTTACTGCCTATAAATAACTGAGAGCATGACATCTGTACACCCAGATAAAGCGGTGCTGGGCCACGGCCCCGCATAAGTCAACAGCTTCTATTTTTGCATGTTTGGTGAGAACCACGTGTCAGCTATCRAGAACACACACAGCAAAGCCCGGTGCTCGGATCCCCGCTCCCCCTCCACCTTCTGCTCAGGCAGACCTCAGGCAAGCGCCCGGCGGCCCCATCTGCTCATCACCTGCTAGCATTTGGGTAGCAGATACGTCAAACTCTCAGCTCACGTTTTCACACGTAGGAGTTTGCTGTCTGAGTGATGAGGCTGTCTGCACTCCCATTGTGCTTTGCCATCGAGAAGACTTTTCAGAGCCTTTGCAAAATACTGCATGCCAGGAGCTTCTACGTAAGTAATCAACCCCCTTTTCCCCCCAGTTTTACCGACTGGAAAACTGAGACACAGAAAGAGGGCAAAAAAGAGCAGAAGACCTGCTGGGTCTCCTGCTTGGGTCCCCTGCACCCCTGGATCTCCCTTCTCCCTCTGAGACATTCCTTTCCTTCTGCTCATCTCTACAACTCTGGCTGCATCAGAACAGAAAGCCCCCCTTTTTAAAGAAAAGAAAAGCTACAGCAATAAAAGTCCTCCAAGAAAAGTTGAGCTCTGGTCCTAGCCCATGCTGGTGGGTGCAGAGGTCTAGAGGCTCTTAGGAATGCCAGTCAAACTGTGGGAGGTCAGGGGCCCAGCCTCCTTACTTGCCTCAGCAGTAGCAGATCCCCCTCATCAGGAACAGGGGATCTCTGAACACCAGCACAAATCAGACAAATCRACTCAGGGAGATTCATCAGGTCCCAGGGAACCTAGTTTGACCTCTCGGTGTCTAAGCACACAGAAAAATTAAATCCAATGACTAGGAAACTGGCAAGCAGACAGCTTAACTTCAGTTTTTGCACATCAAAATCAATGACAATCATTTCTCTCCCCACTAAAACTGCTGCAAAAGCATTGACTCTAATCTTTAAGAAAAAAAAAAACCACCCCAGATTTTGCCCTAATCTAGAWGTGAGTCAGCTTTCAAACCTCAGATATAAAAAAGGGCACATGCTAGGAAGGATGTGGGAAAAATAGAGGGTTAGATTCATCAGGCTCCTTTTGGGTCATGCTAAAATTACTACGATTTAAGTTAATGAATAGATTTCCTTTTGTTCCAGCTCAGCTTCTTTCTGTAGCATTACAGTCCTTATTCTGAGCTGGAAGCAAGCACTTTTGAGATAAAACAAAGCTGAGCTTTCCTTTAAATATTACCACCAAGACCTCTCCATAACAGTATTTATAAAATAGCTATTAAGAAGGGAGCGGATAATAAAACCACATCTGCAAAAGTCAGGGACCCTGGTTATAAAATACCAACAACTAAATTTGCCTTTCAACACAAATTTGCTTCCCACTCACACTGCTCCTTTCAAAGCATCTTTAATGACAAGGCCACATCCTGCTTTGCCCTCAGGCCCTGGTCTCCCTCAGGTTGCACATGCAGCAGGATAACTTTCAAAAGAGGCTCCTGAGACTGATGCATCTCYCCACACACTGCCACACTGCTCCCCAGTTTCCACTCAGGCCAGTCCAGCACTAGTTGCTGGGAGCCATCAACTGCATCAGCACATCTCCACGTGGATACCCAGCAGCACTGTACAGGCAGACACAGCCACACACTGGGCTAAGTTCTCCAGTGCAAAGAGGGAGCCACTCATGGGAGTCACAGCAGAGCTAGGAGCAACTAAGACAACAGGACGTGCTCCCTGGCAGGCTCAGTTTGGCACYGTCTGTGCTTTTTCTGGCAGGGCACAGAAAAGCATCTTTGTGCACACTTTGGCACAGAGCCCTTTCCTACCTTCTGGTCTAGAGCTGGCCACGAAGTCCAAGCACATGCTGAGCCCTCCTCTTCCTCGTGGTGCTTTCTGTGTGACGTGTTGCAGAGGCATTAGCAACCCTCGTCCTGGGAAGGGAGGACAAGCAGCTACAGTTCAGCAGGAACTACGGTTGGTGACACATATATTGGGCACAGGAGATGGAGCAGGCAGCCACATGGCAGGGAGATTCTTAGACCATGACCCCAGGGAGAACTGCAGAAGACTCTCCCTCTGCCAGGGGCTACAAGGGGGCTACAAATTTGAGGCCTCAAAACCAGAGGGAAGGATAACACAGGCCCTTCACACCTAGCCCTGGAATGCATAGCTGGAACGATGCAGACCTGGAGACAGATTATACTAAACCAAGGAGCATCATTTCCCCACAGCCAGTCTCAGCACTCTACGTATCTGGCCTCCATCATAACCTCAGCTGAGGAATTCACCCAGTAGCGATGACAGCGCTTTAAGAGGCTGTCACACTGGGAAGAGACAAGGCGGGTTACAGGGACCAGCAAGCCCAGGACCCGGCAGGCTGAGCTCCCAGACCTGCATGTGCAGGATGAGTTCCCAGACCCGCACGTGCAGGTGGGCAGGTCAGCAGCTACAGCACCTGTCTGCCCTGAGCATTCAGTGCGCGGGAGATTTTCCAAAGCTCAGGAATAGGTGGTGCTTGGGAAGCTCTGACCCACAGACCCAGACTCATTACGGAGCTGAGTAGTGAGTTTCTGTCAGGAGCTGACACGAGGAGGCTTTGCAGAACACAGCGGAGCCAGCAAGAAAGTCCATTAAGTCTCGGGCTGCTCTAACTTTCTGCTGACTGCTTTCAGCTTCTCTGTGATGAGCAGGGGGAGGGCAAGGAGATTTGTGAGAACAGGAAGAACCACTGTATTTATCCAGCCTGACACCCCACACAACGGCAGCCAGAGCACTTCAGCTACAACCCCTGCCTTGTGCCAAGTGGTGACACTAATAGGGCAACAGCTGAGCAATTAAAAGTAAAGACAATAAGATATCAGGTCAAAAAGGCACATGGACAAGAGACAGAGAGACCTAATTTTTGCTCATTTGCTTTCATGAGTGGAATATTATCAGATAGTCACTATGCTCAGGAAAAGTGGTATTTTTAAGTCACCACCAATTAGTGCCTCTTCCTCAAGAGGATGGAATCCATCCTCCCGCCTTTTCCTGGACTTTTTTCTTTTTTTTTTTTTTAAACACAGATCAAAAAAAGTGTGTGAAGCCTGAAGTGCGCAGGTCCCTCCACACAGACAGGAAAACTTGCTAAGGCAAGTTCTTTGTACAGCATAAACTCTCATTTTAAAAGTGTTAACAAGCTGTAGGAAAGAAGAGAACATAGTGACTTCTTTAGGGATGCAGGCATGTGGAGAAGCACAGAGAGAGCTCTTGGATCAGGAGGTTAAGAGCAACTTACTGTGGTCTTGGTTACACACCTCTCCAAGAGCGGCAATGAGGATGGTGTGGGAGTGGTTGTCCTGGTTTCAGGGTCACAGGTKTAACTGTTCTGAAATCCTTTCACATGGAATTTTACATCCCCATCTCTGCAGGTTCCGGGCAGTCTCGGGGTCCACAGCTGGTGAGAGGCCGCCGGGGAAGCCAGTCATCTCTTCTAACACGTCACTGCATGGACACATGGCAGGGGAAAAAGCAAGCAGTGAGAAAGAGGACACTCTGCTCTAGCTGGACAGAACCAACATCCCTATCTCACCCCTGTGACCCACTCTCCTAATAAYGTCCTCCAAAATCACACAGGAAAGTCACAGCAAAAAGCCACCACCTGAGCCAATGGCAAGGTCAGGAAGGAAAGCAAGTAAGAGCAGGGGCCAACCAGTAAGCTCAGATGAACTGGAACTCTGACCTCAAATCTGCTGCATCACAGTAATCAAGGCAGGAGGAAAAACAGGGCTGGGAGCTGTGTCCAATCACTGCTTCCACTAAATTAAAAATGTAAATTCTCCATGTAATAGCCTAGCTTGGAGATATCAAGATTAACAGGCAATTAGGAATAATGAAGTAGCAATGACAGCATCGAGAAGCAAACATCTTTGGGAAAGAAAGAGGCTTGGGARGTAGGCACAAACCTCTCTCCCTTCTCCCTCATCAAAGAGGGGGGTGTCAGGTCCCACTCTTGGCGGGCTGCCTATCAAACAGGGGCGTATCACATTTGATCCGGGTTCAGAGCTTTCCTGGCACACTCAAGGGAGACACTGCTGGGAAGGAGGAGTGGGCAAYGTGGCCCACGGGCCTCTGGAATCCTCACAAACACGCGTCCCTAGTGCTACACGTGTGTGCTGTGCAGCTAGATCCTCTGGGGGCTAATAAGGGCTGAGCACACGTGCGTGCTCCTCCTCTTYAGGGTGTTAAGAGTCTCCCTCTGCCACGCGTTCCCATGCAGCTAGCAGGAAGCTAAACCCTCTGAGATCATGGGTCATCAGTGCCAAGGAAACCAATCCAACGGCTCCAAAACCACAAATATATAAATAGGGAGGCAGGGAATAATTGCCTCAGCTCCATGGATGGTCTCAACATCATCACCTTCAAATATCAGGCTAAAAGACATTTTGGCAYGGCCTGGTCCTTCTTGTGCAAGTCAGGGCTGATCTACTTTGGAAATATCTGCAGTCATTCACTACCCCATGCTCGACAGGAATCGCACTTTCCTGCATTGGAATGGAGCTGTGCAGTCATCCCACGTGAACTTCCTGAGAGCCAGGAACTTTAAATGGAGCAGAAACCCAGTATTCAGACAACAACAGCCTAGAGAAGGAAAATGCTAGGAAACACAGGAATCCTGAATCCAGCACTGGATTCACAACAAAACCCCATGGAGACCAGGAAAAATAAAAAACAAGGGAGCAGGGGGAACTCTGAAAAAGGATGCAGAAGAGTTGGTGAGCAGAAGACAGAGCAATGTGGAGACAACTGGGTTACAGGCAATCTTACATCAGTTTATGAAAATATCCCATTAATCTTCATAGCACAATCTTAATTGCAAAATCTTTCATCAGCCTTGTTATTTGTGCACCTGTCACTGGAGACACTCGGAGTTGTTTTGTCGTCATTTCTCACACTAATTAGAGGGGCTTGGGGTGGTTTGCCCGGGTGGGGTGGAGAGGGGGGCTGTTGTTTTTTTAATTGTCCTCAAGCACAGCTCAGACTAATGGTAACACTGCCAATTAGGGTCCCACCCTGCACAGGGCTTGCAAGCCTGCGAGGCACTTTGCAGAGGACTAGAGGGGTTGTTTTAATTAAATACCCCCAGACTAGTAAGGAAATATTTAGAGCAATTTAACAATCTGCTGCAGAGTTGTTAAGCCTCCAATATATGTGCTTAACGTTCATTTGGGTATTTAATAATCTCTCTACTTTATCTAATCCCGTTTAAATTTAAAGAGATGCATCTAAGCCGGTGGAGTAGCTAGTACTTAATAACAGCTGCTGATTATTAAAACACAGTTGAAGTGTCATCACCAGCGTGCGGTCCCTGCAGCAGGTAGGGGACCTGATGCCTGTAAACATATTTCTTTCCCAACAGGGGCCAGCCAGGGACAAGACTCACTGGCTTCATTGCAAGCTTTGCTACCATCACCCTTGTACCCTTAGTTTCCAGCCTGGTTTGCCTCCCAGTGAAAGGCAAGCTGGTGGGCCCAGCTCTTCATCCAACCCCCGAGATAGACATTTATGGAATTAGATAGAGCTACAGGTTACTTATGGCTATTTTCAGACCTCCGGCTGCTCAGTTTGAAGTATTTCTCTTTTTTTTAAATAGAAGATTTTCTATTTTTTATTTTATTTTTTATTTTATTTCTATTTTCTATTTTTTTATTTTTTCTATTTCTATTTTTCTATTTTTTTTCTATTTTTTATTTTCTCAGGTTGCTGAAAGCACATGTTTTGTTCTAATCAGCCAGCTCTTCACAATCTTTCTGTGAGGCCCTCACCTGCAGATGGCCTACAGGGCCCAAAAGACTATATAGAAGGATTTTAGTCTGGATATCCTTAAGTAATTTGTATGTTTCTAGCCTGACCGGCCTGTTCTTAGCAACTCCCTCTACCTCTGTTAGATGCACTGCAATTTCATGCAGCAATTCCCTTTGGTTTGCCTCGGCCTGCTAGAATCATAGCAATTGAAAAAGATCTTCAAGATCATCAAATCCAACTGTAAACCTACCACCACCATGTCCCYGAGTGCCTCATCTACACATTTCATGGAGACTGCTAGGCATGGCAGAATGAAAGAGACAACAGAAACTGTACAGCTTCTGGACATACACAGCACAGAACAGAACTTGGTTCTGATTTCCATCTGCAGGTTTTGCACCTGCAGATAACCCAAACTGGAAGAATAAATAGCAGTGGCTCTGCCTTGGCATGTTGTTTCCAAAAAAAACACCCACTGTTAGGTTGGGTGCGCAGCTCTGTCATCCATGATTGCAACAGCAGATCAGGTGAGGACAGACCTGTTTCCAAAGCATGACCTAGAGTGGGCACACCTGGCACATGGTGTGCCTAACTGCACTGGGTTACTGCTCTAGCCAGGTGCCACAATGCAGAGCCCCACACTGGTAGAACAGGCAGAAGTGCTGTAGTCTCAAATCACAGCATCTAAATCCATGTCTTAAAAATATGGGGCAATGGATTGGAGGGAGCTGTAGTGCGTCCTACCAGGGATTAGAGGAAGCTGTAATAGATCTTCTCCTCTTCTCCAGTCTCACAGGCACCACCACCGCACTTGGAAGTGCTGTGACTTGAAAGAACAATTATGGCACATCTCCAAATGCTGCTGCCACACACAAGGAGAGGCTGTTACAGAACACACAACTCRAACACACAGCTCAACTGGTACAACTTAACTGAGATGAGAGTCAAGCCACCTACCTGATGGGAGTTGTTGAAGGTGCAAAATAGACTCCATTTATCCTAAATGAAATTTAGGATAAAAAAAAGCAGTACACATCAGTCTTTAATCCTGTGAAGCTGAACAGCCAAAACTCTTTTACAAGCATTAATCCACCCATCTATAAAATGCCTTCACTTCCAAAACTAGAAGGTAGCAGCTGTTTAAGAGAAGGAAAATCTCCTCAAATCTCCACTTTAAAACCAGAAGGCACATCTGGAGGAAATCCCCTTGCCKGGTTGAACCAGACAAGCTGTACTCAAGAGCTACAGGCCACAGCGCCTTGAAGGTTTATTGCCAGGATCCTTAACAGGGCTAAGTTCCACACATCTTGTTCAAGCAAGAGCATCTCAGGTGTTCGTTGTAAAGGGCTGATTTTCGTCAGAAGGCTGATGTTCTGTTTTCAAAGAGAAATACACCATTTGGTGAGAATGAGCAGAGAAGTGACACAGTCATGCACACATATTAACAGGAACATGGCCACCTAGTTGCTCCTCATTGACCCAAGAATAGCAGCAAGGCAAAACACGACAGGAGCCTGCAAGAAGGTCAAACACTGYTGCAAACAGAAAGGGAATGGTTGGTCAGACATGTCCACCACAGAGATGTAAGTAACAAGTTTAAAATTGAAGCAAGGAAGACTTAAGTCAGATGTTGGGAAGAAAGGTTAAAAAATATATATTTCATGCTTGTTTTTTTGTTGCTGTTGTTTTTTTTGGAAGCGTTAGAAGAGGTTGAACAACCTCTAGCCCAAAGGGTCTTTTAAAAAAAAAAAAAAATTTACACTAGAAGCTATTTAGAATTTATTGTGGCTTGGGACAGAGAGACAGGCTCACTTGACTTTGGCAATGGTCCTTCTCAACCTTTTCTTCTATGGTCCTATATTATAACAGGAAAAAATGTTGACCACCACCACCCCATAGGCCCTAYCCGCTCCCTTCTTTGGCCTGCTGCAAGGAACTACTCCAAGGATGGCATACTCTATAACTGAGTTAAAGACAGATCAGTCCATATATACTGCCCAGTAGAAGCAGCATGTTGGTCAGCAGGGCTCCTCGGCCATCCGTGGAAGGACTAACTCATGTCACTTCCCCAGTAGAAGAGAACCCAAGTCCTCCTCCCCAAATGAAACCTATAGTGCCACTCCATATTTGAATGACTGAGATGACCAGAGGGGAGCAAACAGAACAGAAATTCATGTTTGTTTGTTCTTTGTTCCTTGTCTCTCAGACACTGGTGTCATTTAGGCTTTTTTGTGGAGGAGATGCATCAACACAGTGACGGATCCTGTCTGGTCCCATCAGCACTGAGGCATCGTGTCCCCAGAGTAACGCGAGAGGACTGCCGTTCCTGCAGGGAAGGCTGCTCAGCAGGAGGTGTCAGCCTGGGAAACACAACAATTGCTTCTCTCCGATCAGTTCAGCGGCACTTGAAAACTCCCCGTGCGGGGCGAGAGACAGAGGAGGCCGGCTCTGTACGCAGAGGTGTGCCAAGGACTCGCACCGAAGGACAGAGAGCAGTCGTCACGACGCCGGCCATCCTGCACGTCACAGGGAAAGGAGCAGGGCTGTTCCAAGTGGCCTCTTCCTTACTGGACTTGTCCTGTGRGGAAGGAAAGGGACTCCTCCTTCCAAGCCCTCCTGTTGGCAGACCCTTCACGCCGTGCTCCCGTGCCATCTCTTTGTATGCGGCGGTGCAGTCACAGATCACAGGATTATTTAGGCCCTTGGAAAACAGAAAGGATGTTGCCGTTTACACTGTGATTTCCTTAATTCTCAGTAAAGCATCCTATTTGCTTCCTCCTCCATAAGTCACCTCTGGTTTAGCAATGTGATAGCAAGTTGAAAGAGATGGCACGAGTTAACGCTCCAGTGCCCTGTAGCAAGCACAGCCTCTGCTGCAGCAGAGAGACTTCACATCCTCTTTCACAAAAGGAACAGAGGACTTGGGATTCTCAGTGGCCATGTGGAAAACGCCTTGTGGAGATTGGCCGTGCTGCTCTCCCTGCCAGTCAGACAGGGATGCAACATGCAGAAAGACAGAGCAATTTGCCAGATATCATGTTCAAGCTGACACCAGCTCTCCAGAGACCCAGGCGCCAGGTCACCCACGCTCACCACCCTGGAGATCCCAGCTGGAGCTATAGGTAGGATTTGTATGACACACAGGAGGAAAGCTGCCTGCAAAACCCATCTCTGCGCTCAGCTTAACAGAAGAATCAAGTTCTGGGCTACTTCTCCATGTAACAAGGTGGGACACACCAATCCAAAGTACACATGTGCTATCATGTCACATTTTCTCTCATTCCTATGCTGTTGAGAACAACCAAGCCTTGCCTTTTGACAGCAGGAGACACCACGATGTGGATCTTCATGAGGTGGAAAGAGTGTGGAGGAGCTGCCTGCAAACAGCAGGCTCAGAGGGGGAAACCAGCAGAGGCAGGCGCAGAGCAAGTGATAATTTCTGTGCTGTGCAATTACTGCTGAGAAGGAGTAAACCTCTGGTGCACAAACCTGCCAACAGTTTACTGCCGACAAGGAAACAAAACCGACAGTTGACACTGGAACAGCTACCGATACCCTATAATCATCTTAAAAATAGACTCTTCACAAACCTGCTTGTTAGTAGTGAGAACATATGCTTTTTTTAAGGGCTGGGGTGGGGGGGAACCCTCTCGGCATCTCCAAAGCAACGTTTGCAGTAGACAGAGCAAGTAGTTGGAGAAACTGAGGTTGAAAGCCCTTTCCCAAGGCTTGGTCTGGCCCTGCTGGACTGCCAGGTCCAGCAAAATTGTGCATTGCTACAGTTTAGGTCCCAGCTTCAAACACACTAGCAGCCCTTTCTTTGGGGAGCCAGCCTATCCCGTCATATCACACACATGGGCTCCACAGGGCTGTTTTCAGCAGCCTATGCCTCCTGCACTGCAGCATAGGGACGCCTGGTGTCCTCACTTGGCCTCGCAGTGTCTTCCTGACCTACTGAGGTCTGAGCACAAGCACWTAAGTGAGAGCTCATCCCACAGCTCACTGTGCAGTGCCCTCCTGAGCTCTGCCTGCTCGTCCCGCTCTTGCCCTCAGGAGCTGTTCCTCCTTCAGCTCCTTCTCACAGGGCTACAGGTCCATGAGTGAAGGTTTCATGAAGCAGGGTCTATATTACCCAGACATTAAGTCATGCCAGRGTGCTGCTCTGCATCTCCAAACTGCCACCACGTATCTCCTGCTCCTCCCAAGTAAGCAGCTCCCAGCTCACGAGCAGACAGCAAGTCTCATCCATTGCCCGAGGCACTCCCCTGCCTCGGGCTCCTCACTAGTGCCCTTCTGCTCTTGGCAGCCCCCAGCATCACCACGGAGGCCAGGGATAGGTGTTCACGTGGACACCGTGACTAAAATTCCTCCCAGCTCTCCAGAAAGGGAACCTTAAGGAGGTATGTGTGTATATGTGTGTGTAAATCACTAGTTTTTGCAAACCAAACCAGTTTTGCTGGATATTCTCCAGTGTTTCTTTTAACTACAGCCCCTAGGAAGCCAGCTATTTTCCCCCAAGCTGGGTTGGATAGAGCAACGCTATCTCTGAGCCAAGTGCCCTCTAGCTTTACTCAAGCCTGATGCACCTTCCATCACTGGATGACAGCACAACCTGGGCTCAGGGATTACAAGGTCCATACTACATCTCGGGAAGTACAAAGCATACGGTATTTCCCCAATGGACAGTACAGCTCAGGACTAATCCAGAGTCCATGAAATCAAAATCTGGTCTACTATGGCTTTTGCTTGACTCCAGCTCATTTCTGCCAAGTGTTCTTGGAGACAGAACAATATTGGTTCAGAAAGGAGAAAGACACAGGCCTGGTTTGTTTCCCACCACATGTGACACACAAAATTTATCCACCCKCAATTTGCTATGCCCTCTGTGCTCAACACATCAACACTGCAGGACAGAGAGGAACAAACATTCCCTTGTAAGTGGATTTCATTTTGGTATTAGCCATTTAGAGATTACATCCATTTCAATTTGGGCAAGGATCCAAGGTTAACATCTCTGCTCTTGTTAACAGTGCTGCAGGGTCTAGTGCCTGCAGAAGCCCAGCAGCTCCGTTTTACATCTTATTTGGGAAAAAAAAATAAYGCATCAAGCCAAGGAGACGGGAAAGGCAAATTCCGAGTGGGGGGGCTATGTGACTATTCTATCTGAAAGTAGTTTGCTAAAGAGCCCTTAGATGCTTGCCACTTTTCTCCTCGTTGTGCCACTCGCGAATACAGGTTCCCCAGCTGTCACTGCACAACCCTAAGGTATTCACTCTGCAGTAAARCTATAAAAAGTTTCCAAAAAGTCAAGGATGGGGAACCTCTGCTGCCAGTAACAACATACAACACAGGGTGACACCCCCATGCAGGGTCACAGCAGCATTCAAAGGCAGGCATTTCTCTAAAATCCATATTTACGCAATCTAGGACTTCAGTGATGTGACTCCACTGCAGTCACATTGGTAGATGAGTTACCAAGGCCCTTCTTGGTCCTTCTGTAGATTGGCCAGCCGGGTTCAGGCTGGCTCTGCTCTCCTCCTACCTCACAGCATCCCCGTGCAGATCACAGCCTGTGCCTGCACACAACAATATGTCAGAATAGCAACTGCACAGGAGCAGCCRACCCAAATCAAGAGGCAGTTCTGCAACAGGGTGACCCAAACTCCCAGTGTCCCCAGGRCAGCTGGCACAGGGCTCCAGCAGCAAGCTGTGAACTGTGATAACAGCTGRTCTTCATCAGCCTCCAGCTACCACAGCGCACCTGAGAAAGCAGGAGAAAGGAGGCACACTCCGGGTGGGGAGGAGCACAGCCCGGGGGGTATAGCTGCTGGTTTATACTGGGAAAGGCTTTGGCCGCASACCAGCACCGCCTGCCGGGAGGCCTGGCTGCACTGCCCAGCGCTGCACCTGGGTGGGCAGACAGAGCCCTCGCCCAGGCCACACGAAGGGCTCTTACTGACGCCTTCCCAGACTAGCTCCCCACAGTCAATACTGCCTGCATGAATTATTAATC